TCAGCAAATGATCAGTCTCTTGAAATAAGTGCAAGGGAAAAGGAAAACCTTCCATCAGTCTCATGTTTGTGAAAGTTGTCAGAAATCCTGCTTTGACTGTAAAGAGTTTACAGCTATATGTTTGAATAGCTAAAACATCTGTTCAGCAATATTGTGAAATCCTTGTGTTCTGAACTCTTGATAAAGGGGACTGCTAAGTGATTGGTTCATAGAGACTTTACAGGCAGCAAGAGCTGTAGATAGTGGTCACTGCTTGCCTTTCCTAGTCTTGGTCAGAGGATAACTTAAAACACAGCTAGTATTTAATGTAGGACTGTATGATTTTCCTTTGAGAGCGGGAAAGCCGGAGAGCAGGAAGTGTGTAGGAAATGGTTCATGGCAGAAACCTGAGGTTGTAAATAAAAGAGAGAAGGAAGAGAGCTCGTGGATGCAGTTTGCAAACAGTCGAAATACTGATACAACAGCAGCAAAGGGAAACCAGACTCTTGGAGAGTGAGCACATCCTAACCCATCCCGATGGAAGGAGAGACGGTACCAGATCCCAGGAGAAGAGGCAGCAAAGCCACGCGGATTGCCCTCGGCGTGTTTGTGAGCAGCACTGTTGTGCTTGGCACCGTGCTTTTCCTGGGTAAGTGAAAAGTTCTAGGCTAACGTGAATGTAAATCTCTTGAGCCAGTCGCTTTGTGGCTGAGCTTGTGCTGTGTGACTTACGTCTGCGTGTTTTGGTGAAAACCTCGGTCTCTTCTCCTTTTTTCCTGTTCTATTTTTACCCTGAAGTGGAAACGTGCCAGTAAAGAGATTTGTTATGAGAATGTTATAGCTACAATGTGAGCTCACAATGTAACTTTGAATGCTGAATTTAAATTTTTATGCTCAGTTGAGTGTGTTCTAGCTAGAATTGGGTTCTGTCACAGAGTGAGGAGATTATGCGTATCGATAACGCTGATTAACTTGCAGATTGTGACCAATATGGACTAACATTCTTCACTTCCTGAACATCAGTCTGTAGTGCATACATTTTACAGAATCTTTTGGGTTATCCCTCATTTGGTTTTCATTAGGGTTTGACTAAAATTCCTCTAGAAGGCTTCAATAATGCCTATGCTTGCACATTTCTTAGCTGCTTCTGTTTCTCTAGGATAAATTGCAAAGTTATCTTTGTAAATATTGTAAAAAGTGCATCCGGGATGAAATTAAACTGTTTTGATCAGATTTATTAGCTGTAACTGGGTAAAATGGAGAAGGAATTAGTTTTTCCTCCTCGAGGTTTGGAGTCATTTGTAGATTGACTTTTTTTTGGAGTATCCCATGGAAGCACCTATAAAATGATGTTGAATAGTATATCTGTATCCAGAAAACACCAGCTAATGAATCGAAAATGGTATCTTGTAAATGCCTGCAGAGATAGATCCTATTTTGGAATAATTCAGCCAAACTTTTAATTTCTGTTAATCGACATCAGTTTCTGTGCACTTGAGGTATAGCCTGTAAGAATGTCTTTTGCTTCCCTCAGGTCTTTTATGATCTTGTTTAAAAGGTATGGTTTGTTTATAGTCACAACAAAGAAAATTATGCTAGGTTTTTCTATAGGCTATTTAAAGCAACAGGCTCCCCTTTTTAATACTTTCCTATTCTAAGGCAAATTCTACAAACATTTCCACACAAATAATTTTTGTATATGAGAAATCGCTTTATAAATGTGAGCAGAGTTGGATCCTCATCTTGGTAGTGCAAACTACTGATTCTACTTTTTTAATAAATGTTTCTCACTTAAAAATAATACGATATCAAACATCATGGATTAATCGAGAGCTTATTTTTTTGGCGCTAGATTGTTTATATAGTTATTGCTTGTAGAAAATCATGCAAAATTACCACCATAGCTTGTCAGTGATGAGTCCTTTATCCATAGATCAAACATGAAAATTCAAGTAAATGTATTGATTATTATAGTTTTATAAGTATACTTAGGCCTATTCGGTACCAAGGGAGTCAGTGTAAAATTTTCCATTGGCATAACTGCAAAGAAAGTAAAAATGGTGGCCTTGGGGCAACCAAAATGTTTTTAGAATTTGTTTGGAATTTGTCAGAGGGGTTCAACTGAAAGAATAAAGGAAAAAAGGAAAAAATTGTTCAATTTTAACATTTTATCAATGAAATGTTCCAGTGTTTCTGTTTCAGTGTCTTGACACTGTATTTCATGTGCAAGTTTCCTTGAACGTAATTCTTTTTTAGTTTTGTAAAACCGTAGACAATGAAACCATTTTATTTTGAGTCTTATGAAGCACTTTAGGCACCTCAAGATGACCTTTTTTCTTCACTTGTCATTTAATCTGCAAAATTTTTCATTTCTGGAAGACCTGAAACAACTTCCCTTCAGTTTTGCAGTCTGAGAAGTTAAACCACGGCCTTCTCCTCCTCTAGTTTGCTTCTACAGCCCTACAAAGAGTCTGGAAGAATCATGTATTTCTATTTAGTGTTGCTTGGGTTGCTGGTACCAAAGCACAGCTTGGGGTTCTTGGACGCTTTTCTGTGATTTCCCAGATGTCCATAGTGTCTCTGTGCAGATGGGCTAGCGCTTCACTATGAGCTTTCCCGCTAAGCCTAAGTCTTCTTGGAAGCAGTAGGGTATGGTCAGTGCAGGAGCTCGGGCTAGCTGGGCCTTCTGGGCGCACAGCAGCCATAAGAAAAAGCACCAGCCCGGCTGCATAGTCACCATGTAGCAGAAACATGGTCTTTGTGACATTTCGTGAAGAATAGTTCTGTATGTTGGGAAATACCAGGCAAACAGAGATTTCCTCTAAATTCCCCCTTCCCTAGGCAAGATTAAAAAAAAAAGGAAAAAAAAAATCTCCCTCTCCTAAACAAGATTAGGGTGGAAAAAGTAGACATGTTGAGGTACTACCTGTCAAGGCTGCTGATGAGGGAGGCAGCTAGGGCAGTCTGCCTCGAGGCTTGGTGATAGTAAGGCAGCTAAAGAGACCTCCTGGCCTCTGCAGTGCTGTTGCGGGCATCTCTGAGGGCCAGCACAAGTGCTATGATGTGGGGAGCACCGGCCTTCAGCAGAGCTGGTCCTCCTTCAGAGATGCAAGGGCTTGGCCTGAGGCTTTGTGCCTAGCTGCGGTCGTACCAGCAGCTTCAGCTGGGAGCTACCAGGTGCATAACTGGGTGTCCTGGCTGTCGTGCCCTTAGGTAGATGCTGGACTAGGAGCAAGTCTGCTCTGGCAGTCCTCGAGGCGCTGTGGCGAGACCCTTTCTTGAGTGCTCAGAGCCAGCTTGTAAAGAAGAGCCCTGAAAACCCCATGGGCTCTGACAGGGCAGAAGCTCCTGACGCAGACCCGTCCCTTGCGCGGGAGACAGGGCCAGAATGAAAGGAAGCAGTTTGCTGCCTGACCCCCTTCCAGGCAAAAAGTCAGGCAGCTTTAAAGCATGATTCAGTAACCTCTCCTCCTGCTTTGGTAGTCCTCTGAAATTCTCAAATTGTAAGAATGTCCACATTATTTGTCTCTGGATATTTCTGTGTGTTTCCTCGTTTCAGTTTTTTGGGTTTTTTTGACCTTATCACGGTGTTCATTTGCCTAAGCTTCTGGAAATAAGCTTATAAAGCAGATGTTGAGAAGCTGGGACACCGAGTGTTAGAGCCACTGCTGTAGGTAATAAAGCAGTGATAAATTCTGGTGGCAAAAAAAGGCAAGAGAACAAAATCAGGCAAACATCTTCAAACAAAAGTAGCTTTTTACTTAAAAGTAAAGTACTTTTGTCAAAGAATATCTTTTTGATTGGCTCCTGATAAGAAAGTTCTAAATGGAACAAAAACATTTGAGATGCTATTTTATTTTATTTTCAACTATCTCCTTTCTCCTTTTCTAATTCTTCTAAGTTTTCCCTCATTTTCCATTGAGTATAGTAGCATCTGGCATTTTCTCTTCTTTTTGTTTTTTCTTGTGAAAAAATCTAGCAAACTTTCAAGATTTGGACAAGTTTTAAAGGGCTAGCTTAAAGGAGGGCAAAGGTGAGCTTCACTGAAGTATGGGAAGGAGAGCAACACTTTGAACCACGTGAAATAATAATAGATAATATTCCTATTATTTAATTAATTTTCTTTCAGAGTTGTACTTGCACTTCCTTATATTTTCTGCTCTTCTTCAATATTTCAGTTCCCATTTCTATATGCCTAAAAGTCTATTGACTTTCTTGGCTAGTCTGCAAAGCTTGTTGAGATTTTATGTTTTATTGAGTCAATTAAAACTTTGGTAAGTTGTCCAGAAATAGTTTTCCATTTTCAGTTTCTAAGAAAGTCTGAGTGAAAGCCAGTCAGTTCTGTCATTAATTGTCACTAAAGCTATGAAGCTGAAAGTATGGGGAGAGATGGAAAAGCTTTGTGTTCAATTCTAGCATTAGTTTTCTCATAGTAAAATTTCCCCACATTGAAACACATACTTACCATTGCATATTTTCTATCCCTCTTGACATGTCAGGATAAATTGCTTTATAACCACCAGCACCGTTAGAGTTATGATACTTTGAAATATTCTGCTGGTGTGCTTTTTTATTTTTTTTTCCCCCCCTTCGTAGTCTGAGTTAATGTAATGGAAATAGCAAGGCTTTTTCTTATACGTGCACATCTACCTCTCGGGACTCTTTCCCATCCTCATCCCAAGCATCAATTAGCTGCATATTTGCTGCCTGACAGCAGTGTCTGAAATCAGCAACTGCTATGCTTAAGTTTCAGTGGCAGCTGTAACACACATTTTTAAAAGATGAGCAAAATCAGCTAAGAATTTCATAGTTCGTGTCAGCAAGGTTTTTAGAAGCAAATGGAATTGTGTGAACTGGCTCCCAAAGGAACTATCAGGCACACTGCGGTTTATAAACCACAACTATTATGGTGTCTCTTGCTATTTATGTTATTCCTAACTGTAATAAGGGTATGTTGCAAGCGGCCCGTCGAATTCGGTCCTGCCTTTTGGGCCGGGCAGTGCCGTGTGTCTGCTGAGGCAGGTACTATCCACCGCAGGGCAGCGCGAGCACTGCTGTATACGAGTAGCTGTAAAAACCCTGCAAAAGACCGCTGGATAGCTACATGTTAAATTGCCAGCTGTGAAAGATGCATCTCTGCAGGATGATAATGTCAATGATTAATTGTTTGTATTTTGGTGGTGTGCACTGTTCCTGAGCAAGGCTGAAGTGCTATTATTGTAGGCGCTGTGCAAACGTACAGTGAGAGGTAGCCCTTGCTCCATACTGCCTACCAGCCAAGACAGAAGGAGGAGGGGAGGAAACAGGCACAGGAGGAGGAAATGCTCGGCTAGGAGCTAATGCTCGGCTAGGAGCTGCAGTATTTACTTAGAACATATTCTAACTTTTTAAAATTACGGTAGTCAGAGATGCATTAGGGCCAGATCTTGCACTGACATTTGAATGATCGAATACACAATGTTTGACTTGAACCAGGAACGGTCAGTTCATTACAAATGATCTCATTATGGCTTTCCATTTTGCAGTTAGCCAAGGCCTTATAAAGTTTCAGGAGAAGCAACAGTACTGTTTGACTTCAGAATGCATTGAAGCTGGTAAGCAACATTTTTCTCCCCTCTGTTATATGGTAACTGCAGCATGTTAATAAGATATTCATACCATTTTAATTGTTCCATCATTCTTTTTAGTCATAAAACCTCACTAATAATAGAAACAAAGAATGAGATTTTTTGGAAAAGATCAGTGTTTAAGTTACTGCAAATCTGTTTTTTTCCTACAATTCAGCTTTGGATTCTGAAGTGTTTTAGCTTGACGCTACCCAGGTTAACTTCAAAAGCTTCCTAAAGGCATGGGGTTATTTTTGTTGGTTTTTTGTTTGTTTTGGTTTTTACAGGAGATCAAATGTTGGCTGACTCAGCCTTAAGGTATATTTTGCTATTTCCTTTTCAGTAGTCAGAAAAGTAGCAAGCCAATAAATTGTTAGACACTGAGATGCTTTAGGGCCAGATCTTGCCTAGAGTTAAACAATCATAATACGGTAACTATGGCTCAAAATCTAGAACTACTTCCAGATTGGCAGGCTCTTTCCTCCACACCGATGCGGTAATCTTCATAGAGCTGGGACACCTGTTAGTATTAAATGTGTGCTGCAGGGATCAGGTTTCGTAGGACCTGAAAGCGACACTTTGCACTGGTCAGTTTTTACAAAGGTTTGCTCACACTAAATCAATGAGAGTTTTATCATTGAATTTAATGAGAGCAAAGATCAAACGATAGTTATCGCATCTGGAAATCTGACCTGAAATCTGAGCTGTTTTATTAGCTTAGCGCCACAAGGTGGACATTATATGAACTTAAAAGAGTATTTATTTCCATTCTGAACCATATTAAACTAATCCCGTGAGGTGCCTGGCTTGAGTTTGAAATCCTGATAAGATTCCTTGGGGCTACATAAATCATTTGAAAAAATTTGCAGATCTTAACATTTCCATGACGTTTCCTGTCGTTCTGCTTCCACTTTGCACTAAACTGGCAGTGCTCTTGGCCTCTTGGAGCACCATCATCCATAGCTGATTTCTAAAAGACTGTGTATATCTAAGTAGGTGGGGTGACTTACCAAAACTTTAAAAAGTGTATGGGCTTCACCTTGAGCTTTGAGAGAAAAAAATGTGGCTTAAGAAGTTTGAATCTGAATTGGTTTTGTTGTTCTGCACCAAGACTGACTTGGAGACCTATGTGACTTGACTGTTTTAGTTTAGAGTGCGGTGTACAGTGACTTCGTGGTATCTTGAGACCTGGGACTTGCCTGGCTGAGCAGCTTTTCAGGAGCAACAGAAAAATTACCAAAAAAAGTACCAAAATGTCTTTGGCAAAATCAAATTGAGAGTTCTAACATGAGATTTAAAATTATAGCTGAGACAGAAATATCATAGGAAGAGTTATTCTAAGTAAAACTAGTAGATACTAGGAATAATACCACAAACTCTACAAAACTTACTAGATTTCCTTCAAGGCTTTTTAATCAATGTTGTTTGGATAAACCTTATAATACATGGGCGCATTTCAAAAAATGTCACGTACCTACATATCCCTCAAGTGTTACTCTACCTATGTAGATTTATGCCACAATTGTTCTAATGCATGATCATATGACTAGGTACTCAAAAGTTATTTTGTCAAGTCAGCTCATCATACTGATCTCTCTCTTACCAGTCTCATTTGTAATAGCAACTGGTGGGGTACAGTCACAAAATGAAGCTGAAAATACTGCAGTTATCACTTCCCAGGAATGAAAGATCAGAATTTAATTTGTTTTCTTGTGCAGCTATTCAGCTAAAGTAAACAGTGTATAATTTCTGGTATGCTAATTACAATCTCTTTGAGAGAAATTGCTCCTAAACTCCTCAGGCAATTATTGCCATCATGGCAAAATGGAGAGCCTGTATTTAAGGTATCTGGCTCCAGCAGTTCAAGTTCTCTAGATTCAATGGTCATCTCTGTACAGCACTCAAAAAGCACACGTTGCACAGATGTTCTGTGTTTTTGGCTTCTTATATGGGCACTGTTGGATGTATTCTTGCTGCTATTTTAAAAATGGCAGAGGCTTGAACTGAACATATCACTTCTAGAACAGTAAGACTTAGTTTTCAAGTGAGGTCAACATCACATTTCAGAAACTGGTAAATGTTAATCCTTTCTGGACTGTTGCCTGACATAATTCTGTTTAAGTAAAAATGTTCCGTAAAATTAATGTGATTTTTCTTTTAACAGCTGCTGCCATTTTAAGCAAAATAAATCAATCTGTAGATCCTTGTGAGAACTTTTATCGATTTGCATGTGATGGCTGGATATATAATCACCCTATTCCAGAAGACATGTCAAACTATGGCGTTTATCCTTGGCTGCGGCACAATGTGGACCTCAAACTAAAGGGTAAATATATCATTTCTGAAAACGTTAAGTTGATTTTTGATTGTAGCTTGTTAACTGGCTGATTTTGAAATGAATGAGGACTCCATGCTCGTCCCTGAATACCATGTAATAGCCAACAGACCAACTTATTATTCTCTTTTAATTATATTTTTGGTGTTTTTTAGTGCAAATAACATTAAGAGAAAATGACTTATAGGAGAAACAGAATGCAAAAGGATACTTATGCCAAAGGAAGAGACTGCAGGGTTTGAACCATTCCCCCCTCACAGTAGAATGGTAGACCAGAGCGCAAGACCACAACGTGCACATTTAGATCTGGGACAGACATTCTTAAACAAGCATTAGTCTAGGACAAAACTCCCTCTGTCAGTGGCCAATAGCAGGCAAAGAATGTAATAGGGCAAAAATAGAGTGATATTTTTCAGCATACTTAGGTAGTTCTTGGCAGGAGGCAATCTACAGGCTTCCACAGATGGAGGTTGTTTGGGTATTCTGTTTCCTTCAAGTTGCTTTGCCAGGTGGTAAATAAGATGTCTAGGTGTGTGGTTGCCATTGAAGTACCTGAAGTGTCATCAGGGAAATGGAAGGCTGCTTAAGGATGTGTCTGGAGGAAAAAAATAGCCTGAGGTGGAAACGTGTAGGAAGGGAGGTATTTTAATCTGTGTATGAGTTGACTTTGTGCTGTACTCTGCAGTAAGGCCACCTCATCAGGAAGCTCCACAGACCAGCTGGGGAAAAAAAAGGTGATGACTATTGTTAGGTAGGAAAAACACACCAGATTTTTATGATCGTCACTAAAACTATGAGTCATGCAGAAGAAGGGAAATGTGCAAAATTTAATATTGTCCCTGATGTGCCTGAGCCTTGTATACCTTAAGCATGCTGTTGATATATTAGTTGACATTTATAACAGCCTACTTTGAGCTCGCCACAGAACAGAGATCAGTCTTTGGATGCCATGTTTAAAGAGATCTATAGCATTTATTGTTCTGTTAGATTTTGTGTATGTGCATGTGTGTGTGTATCAAAGCCCTTCTCCACTGGCTTTCTTCAGTCATATCATATTCAATCTTCACAAAATTAAGTATTTTAAAAGCTGCATTCGGTTTCAGAGTATGAGTTTGGGAATTTCAGTATAAAATGCAACCCAATGACTGCTGTTTTAAGTCTGCTGAAGATGTCACAGCCAGACAAAAAAATACAGTCAGAGCCTGTTTTAAGTTATGCATTTGCATTGTAACTGTTCTGCTGCCAAAATAAGGATGTGTTAGATAACTGCGTGTCCTGTGTGAACCATAGCCACATATAAGCCAGATTTAACTGAATGTAGAATAGCAAGCTGTGACCTCATCCTTAATTTCCTCTTTTCACAGAGACTTATCAAGGGCATCATGCTAAGCCACATATTTATATGGTTTTCCTACTGCAGTCCCCTTAGAAGTTACTAATCCTTAGCTAGGAAAATACAAGAGAAAGAAAGAAACATCTTAATGAGAAGTGTTTGCTTAGTGGCAACTCCATATCAAAAAAGGAGTATAATGAAGAGCCTGATAATTATTTTACCATCATGCCTAAAGTGCTCCTTAGCAACATATAGGGATAAGGGTGTGAAATGTTGGATGACGTAGGGAAGCCGACTGAATACAACATTTGTCATCTCCTTAACTTCTTATTTACTAAACCCTCCAACACATACTCTTGTGCTAAAGAGTACTAAAAAAAAAAACAAATAAATGGATAGATTTCAGTACGGATGGCTGAAATAATGAGACATAACTTCAACCTTTATGTATGTCTGTGACTTAACTAGAATTGCTTTATTAAATTAGCTTGACACTCCCAGTTATTCATTTGTGGATCACTCATCTTTGCCATCAAAAGTTTTAGCAAGATGAAGAACTTTTGCATAGAGGAACATATATGGCAGACCAGACTTTGGAAGCCAATTTAATCTCTTTCCTAAAGAACTCTTAGTGGAGCTTTGTACTTTACTGTATATGTCCGTGTTTGACATTTAGTAGATTAAAAAAGTCCCAATCTTTAAAGAGCTGATTATTACGCAGGTTTTATGTTCTGTAATATTTATCATATTAAAGAAAGGTATTAATCTTAAAATGATAACATGGCTTGGCCAGAAAGCCACATTTTTCGTATTTGATATTCTCTGATGGTGTGATATAGATGGAAGTACTTACTCAGGCAATATATTGAAAAAATGATGTTACTTAAAATAAATTATTTGAACATATAGTCTGTTTTCTGGTCCCTGAATGTTCCTGAGTCTTAAGCAGAAAAGGAATTGGAGTATTTTGTAAGTCCTATACATAGCCTTGGTTACATAAGGACATTGTCAGTCTTCTACAGATTTCATTTTGAGTTCAGGGGCAACCAACATGGAGAAAGATCTTGCAGTTGGTAACAGATAGCCAGCGTAAGAATTAGTTCTGGCCTACCAAAAAGCAGTAGGTGTAGAGTGTGGAGTACCAAGAGCCTGGGACTTAGCATTTGCAAGGAAGGGAGGAGCACTTTCCCTATCTGTGAAGGCTTTTGGAGCTTTAGTGGGGAATTGCAGAGAGAGGAATGGTGGACTGCTCAATGGAAAATAGCTGAGAGCCAACAGGCAGTTAAAATCCTATTTTTGTGTAAGATTTGAGTTTATAATGGATAGGAATATAAAATATTTTATACTCCTATGACTTGTTCTAGCTATCTTAGTAAGGACTCAAACTAAAAATATATCATCATTTCACTTTCGATTTCTTTCCCATCCTTTGTCTAAGGGTCACTTGGGTTTCCTTTTTCGGTCTCAGAGAAAACCACAAGCCCCATATGAAGCTCACTTTGATGTCTTGTCTACACAAAGTAGGTAAAATCCTAGCTCAGTGAAAGCAAGGCTGGCATTTTCCTTGGACAGCAGCAGTAAGAGGATTTCATGCGTTGTGGAAGAATGTACAGAAGACAGTTCTAGATCGCCAAAGTTCAGAAGGAAGATCAAAAATGAGTTAAACGTAGAGTCTGGTGCTTTTGGTTGTGGCTCAGATTCAGGTGACTGGCAGCTAATATCTTCAAATATTTAGATTAAAATTTCTTGTTCCCTTATGGAACTGTACTGGTGAGGACCAAGGTACTTTTCCTTAGTTAATCATTTCTGACGGGACTAAGTTGTCCCTACCTTGAAGCAAGCCTTTCATTTGCAGATGCACTGCAGGGACATTTAAAGTTGCCATAGTTTGTTAGAGATGACCAATTTTAGCACTGATGGGACTATGATGTAGCTCTTGGAGTCTTTCAAAATGTTCAAGTTTGGCCCCTATCATATGAACAAGAGCTATTTCAAACTGCAGCCGTTTCAGCTTTGCATTGTGTCAAGGTTGCAATGTCTCTGCAAGTTAATAAATGTGTTTCACTTACCACAAAATTTCCTGCAACTATTTGAATTTTTCTGTTTTGATTGGTGACCTTAATTAAGAGTTTGGAATCACTATCAGCTTACCATTGAAATTCAGGTGGTTTTTTTGTGAATAAATCAAAACTGGAAGCCTGAGGCAAGGAAATCAGTACCTATTACCTGTGGTGAATGCTGATCATGAGCCGTTTTCTTTTCCTTCCTCTGAAGTCTGCAGAACAACACTGTGCAGCTTTTTTATTTTTTTCCCTCCAAGTGACCATGCAGGAAGCAATAATAATAAAAAAAACTCTCCAAGCATTCCTAAATCTCAGCATCACAAAGGACGTGATTTAAATTATGTGAATACTTTGTGAACGTGTCTTTCAGGCCTTTTTAAATTTAATTTATGTCTGTCAAGACCAGTTTACAGATTAAGTCTCCAAACGGATTCTGGTCCAATGAGGCACCTACTTCAGACTAATTTGCTGTGCTAAGCTTTCTAGCACTGCTGTTTGCTGAATGAGAGTCTACTTAAGTAAAGTAAGGAATTTCCAGCATGGCAAATGGAAAGAAATGGAGGTCTTTTAGGAGGATATAGTGTGTGGGTTTTTAAAGAACATGAGACATACAGCAAACAAAATAACTTGACAGTGTAGACAACTTTTCCCATGATAAACTGCAAGGATTTTCTTTAGAAAATAACTTCTCCTTTAAGTAAATCCAGGAAGGCCAAAATATCTCAATATTGAAATTTATACTATTTTGGCCATAAGTTCATCCTTTCAGATAAATCCCAGAAGCCAGTATTGGGTGGTTGCTGTACTGCTCAGAGGCCTGGGTGCTGCTGGGCTTCTGTTGGCTTCTTTTCTCCCACCCTTTCACAGGCATGTGGTTGGGACCACTGAGATGGTTTGGATATGGCCTATGAAATCTGTAATGTAATGTTTCCAACCCCTTCACTAACCTATCTTGTGCTACATAGTTATTGGTTCCTTAGAGGTAGCTTGCTGAGAGTTGTTCCAAACACGAGAGAGAGAAAAGCAACAGCAGAAGAAAGGACATTGCAAGGATATTTTTGCTACTGCCTCCAATAGTTTCCTGTTGGATAGCTGCTCCTGGGTAACAACATAGCAGCAACAGCGCTCAGCCTTTTTTGCTTGGTCTTTTCTACTGCATGTGGATCTCTTTTCAACAGTTCAGATACTTTTTCAGTGGTCCACATCTTTGACATAATGCCTACAAGGATTATTATCAATCTTTCAGAAATTGCAGTTGTTGTAAGCATGTGTCTGTGTGTTTAATACGTTGTAGTTCCCACAGGAATCATCTGTGCTCTATCATACTGAGCTAGCTGCTATCATTGCAATTATTTCTTACTTTGCAGGTATTTTGTTTCCAAATTTCTGTATCTAGGAGGAGGCCTTTCTTTTCTCTGAAGCTTCACACTGATGAGAAATGATAGTGAGAAGTGATGAAAATGTCTCCTAGTTATCTAAACGCAAGACTCAGCTCCAGGAATTCTCAGATTCTTTGGTGGTGTTTCTGGTTGTGATTTTCACCAAGTTTGAAAATAACATATTTATCTAAACGTAAGAGAAAGCGGACATCGGAC